TTTTTAGACATAATGCTAACACACACTTAATAGACTACAGCATAGAGTAAACATAACTTTTATACACCTGGAAACAACAAAAAAAAAGTCATTTGTCTTGCTTTATTGCGCTAGTTTGAAACCAAACCTGCAGTATGTCTGGGCTATAACTACAGTTACTTGCTGAGAATGGAGAAGATTCTGTATGTTAAAAGTGTATGGCTGGCTGTTCAGAGAATAGTAGGAGTAGAAATCATGCTGCAAAGAGTGTTAAATGCGGTCCCCACTGCACTTTGGTTAAAGCCCCAAATCCTCAGTGTGCTGTTTGAGACTGGTTGATCGGGCTCATACCTAAAATTTTGCTCGTCTTCCGTGTTCTCTGCCCACATTCCCTTCTCCAGACCACTGTATTCACCATATTCTTTCCTGTCTGAGGACTTCAACATAACCAGTTCCCTCTATTTGTAATGCTACTTCTCTTACTCTTTGCCTGGCCAATTCCTCTGCAACCTTTAGATATCAGCTTAAAGGCCACCTCCTCCAGGAGACCCCACCAGGGCTGCCTTATAAGACCATGCACAAGTTGCATATCCCAGAACACCCAGGCAGGAGGAGAAGAGCACCTGTTGATGCTGTGCAGAGTGGCTCCCAGTCTAAATTAAGTCCCTTGTTGATGCTCTGTCATAGCCTCAAGTGTTATCTCGAACCTCTAGATACCTGATTATCTGTGTAATTGAACTATAAGCTCCCTAAGGGAGGCACCATAAAGTTTGTATCCCTAGATCCCGGCACTTAGTCACTTTTCAGGAAATATTTTTAAATGAATGAACCAACTCTAGATCACTCTTCAAATTTGGCAATTTAGCACTAAAGAAAAAGAAGGGGGATATTAGCTGAAATGAGTCATGTATTCAAGGAAATGGATTGTGGATTGGTCTAGGATCCAGAAATCTGAATGTCTATAGGCAAAAGGAAAGAAGCTATTTCAGGTACTCACAAAACAAACTGAGGGTTGGGGGTGGGTAGTTGGGGGGTTGTGGTGTGGGACTATGGACATTGGGGAGGGTATGTGCTATGGTGAGTGCTGTGAAGTGTGTAAACCTGGCAATTCACAGACCTGTACCCCTGGGGCTAATAATACATTATATGTTAATAAAAAAAATAAAAAGAAGCTATTTCAGGTGAAACTGAAGATATAAATGGATTAAGGCTCTACAAGAGTTATGTGATTACCAAAAAAAAAAAAAAAAAGTCAACATTAAAAAGAAGATCCCTGTTTACCCTTAGATAGGAGAGAGAAACTGTTTAAAAATAAGAATCTATTAGTGAGGGCTCAAGTAAAATTAGATATATGAATTAATCTACTCATAAGTGCCACAACACTTTCAATTATAGTGACTTCATAGCTAAAGAAAAATGCTGATGGAAACTGTTTGGGGCACCTGGGTGGCTCAGTAAGTTAAGTGTCCGACTCTTGATTTTGGCTCAGGTCATGCTCTCAAGGATCATGAAATCAAGCTCTGCATCAGGCTTCATGCTAGCCATGGAGCCTGCTTAATTCTCTCTCTCTCTCTCTCTCTCTCTCTCTCTCTCTCCCCCTAGGGGGGGTGGGGGGAGAAGAGGAAAAAAGATGATGTTTAAAATCTCCCAGTAACTTCGTGGTTCAAAATCAAACAATGCGTTGTCAGAGTTAGATCTGTATGTCTCTTTTGGAGGTAGAGGGTTCCTGCAAGTGCCAAAAAGCTGGTCATGCCTCAGTAATTATGACTTATCCTGCTGAAAAACTAACCATCTCTAGTTAGTGCTGATTTGGGGTAAATGGGAGAGTAATTGCAGAGTTAAGACCATTTTTTAAATGGACAAATACTGTATTTTTAGCACATTTTGCTTTGTTCCCCACCCGAGAGACTGGTTTTCTTTAGTGACATTTTACTGGAATCTTGACCAGTTCCATGTATTCTGTCTGTAAAGTAGATGTCACATAAAACAGCAAGCTTGTCATTGTGAAGGAATTGGATTTGGAGTCTGAGATCACTGCAGAAGTAAGTAACAGCACAGTGTTACTAGATTGGCACTTTCTGTAGGACAGAAGATAGGGTAAATAATCGATGACTAACTTACGGCACACGGTGGGTGCTATTGGATAGCCATTAAGTCCATGAAGGTAAATTCAGAACCTTGTAACCTGCCCCTCATGTATAGGAGTAGGAGTGAAAGTGTCCTGTGTAGGTCACAGTGTGGTATGTAGATTAAAGAATGTTTAGAAGCAGCAAGTGGTGGCCAGGTTTGAGAAGCACAGTCCCCCAAGTGCATTGACAGTTAATTTCAGGGGTGAAAGCTGAGTGAATGCCTCTGTGGTCTTGACCACAAACGAGTCCTCACACTCACCAGGTGGCTGGTGAGATCTGACTCTAGAATGTAAATCTCTTTCCATTTTGAGAAATCAATGCATAGAGTTTAAAATGCTGAAATAGCAAAGCATCCTTGAAAAACATTTTAATTGTAGAATAATTACTTGTGTTACAAAAATTACATACTATAGAAATTATAAAGTGGTAAGTAAAAAGTCCTTCCTCCCCGGTTCTCATGTTTTAACAGTTTCTTGGGTAGCTTTTCACAGATTTCATTTCTTCCTTCCTTTTTTCTTTCTTTTTTTAAAGATTTATTTGAGGGAGGGAGAGAGAGAAAGGGAGTGTGCATGTGTATGCTGGTTGCGGGGGCAGAGAGGGAGGGAGAGAGAGAATCCTTAAGCAGACTCCCTGGTGAATGTGGAGCCTGACACATTCGGCTCCATCCCAGGACCCTGAGATCATGACCTGAGCTGAAATCAAGAGTGGGCCGGTTGGCTGTTTAACCAACTGAGCTACCCAGGCGCCCCTCATTTCTTCCTTCCACACCCCTCATTTCTTCCTTTCTTTCTCACCTGTCTTGGCATTCCTTTAAAAAAAAAAATACTATTTTTGAAAAAAATACTGTTTTGGAAAGAATGACATATGTCTATTCAAACATGTCATTTAAGCATTTAATAGTATATCTAGGACACCTTTCTATAGTTGCATGAGATATGATACCTTCTTTAACCAGCTTCCTTTTGAACTTTAGGACACTGGACAGACATTACGATTGTTTTCCAAATTTTTTTTCTTTCATTTTTTTGTAAATGAATAGTCTGTCTGAACAGATAACTTTTATTCACCTGTGAAAAGCAATCTGAAGGATCTAGCCCTAGAAGTCAAATTTCTGGGTCAAAGCATGTGGGTTTTTAAATTTAGTAGATATTGTCATTCTTCAAAACTTTAATACCAGTTTATACCTCTCCCAGTGGTATATTCGAGTGCCCTATTTCCCACACTCTTGAATTTAATCATTACCCATTGTTAGCATCTCATTTTGATTTGCATTTCGTACATTTTGAACGAGTTTAAAGATACTCTTATACATTTTCAAGTTATTTTTATTTCCCAGTGAATTGTCTGTAATCATCGCCCGTTTTCCAGTGGCTGTCTTTTTCTTAGCAGTTTATAAAAATTCTGTGCATATTAAATTTTTACTGCAGATATTTTCCCCAGCTTATGTTTATTTTTTGCTTACACTTGTTTTTTTGTTTGATTTGGTTTTTGCTTTTCTAAAAAACAATTGTAGTTTTGTTTTGTTTGGTTGTTTGTTTTTTGGCTACTAGGTTTTTTATGTCATGATTGAAGGCCTTCCTATACTTAAAAATTAATTTAAAAATTTCATTCATATTTTCTTTAAGTAATTTTATAGTTTCATTTTTTAACTTTAAATGTGGTATATCTAGAATTTATTTTGGCTTAATGAGTGAACGTAGAGAGAGAGCCAGCCTTACGTTTTCCAAATGGCTAGCTGTGGTCTAAACACCACTTTTTGAGCACTCTCTTCTTCCCATAGATTCCTCAAATTTGAGATTTGAGGTTTTCTGACTGATAAATATTTTGTGTTTACAGTACCATTTAGGTAAAACAGTATGGAATTGTGTTGGGAAAACTGTGCATGTAATATTTATTATAGAATTCCCATGTAAATTAATGCTGCTCCTACAGCTAAACACTGCAAGGACGAAACAGCTTATGATCAGAAGAAAAAAAGCATGCATATGGTTTTTGCTTAGATTAGGAGACGAGATGTGTATGTGTCAGAAGGGAGATCTTAGAATGTGTAAAGTACTAGAATCAAAAAGTAAACTTCTAAGAAGAGACCATAATAATCAGGTTGCAGGTTCACTCCTGGTATATCATGTAACCCTTTTTGTTAAAAAACAAAAACAGTCTAAACTAAGGAAATTATTTGAATCAGAATGTATTTCACATTGGATATTCTTAAAATAATAAATATTTTTATAGAAATTCAGTTCTGTGATTTGTTGACAGTTATAACTAACATACTGGAATTCATTGATCTTATTAAAGGAGAGACCACTATGACATTCCTGATGAGACAAGGGGAGTTTTATGAGTAGTATAAATTAAGACTGAGTATAAGGGTACTTTTCTTAGTAAGCTATAGAACATGTCTTCTGAGTATTAAATCTCATTACTTTATCGTTAAAGTCCTTGATCAGCGTGGGAGTGGTGACGGTTGTGAAAAGGAGAGTGGCATGGTGTTTGTTGTTGCATTTCTCCCACCTGGGTCCATTGGTTCAGGGAAGTGATAGGACTGAAACTTGTAAAACAAAACAGACTATGATTGAAACAAAAAGGAATGGAGATAAAAGTTACTAAAGGGAAAGATCCAAGTTTTGAAGAGGCAGATGAAATCTCTTGTTACTTTTCGTTTTTGCCAAAGAATGGGAGCAAACGTGAGTTGAGAGGAGTTGTGGACTAAAGGATAGGTTCTTTGTGTTGCTGCGGGACACATTTGGGATTTACAGATGAGTCGATGTTCAAGGCACCATGTAGAAAAAGTATATCTATCAATTAGTTATGTTTTCTCTGAAATTTATTGAAACTGAAAGAAGCAGGGACCTATGACACATACAGTAAAGGAAGGAGGCATGACTGCTTATATATAAGAACAGCGTCCAGTTTTCCTTGATTAAAATTTGAATATACCAGAATATAAAACTATTAGAATCATTTTATGAGCCTCAGTGGGAAATGAAATTCCAAAAGCTTATTGATTTAAAAGTATTTTCACTTGATGCAAACCATAACCTTAAACCAAGGTAAAACTCAAAACAATTCTTTTCTTCTTTATTCTAAATATTTAAGTGTAAATTACAAGTTATTACTTTAAAGAATGGCTCTAAAACCTATAAACTTCAGAGTCAGACCATTTAATTCTATTATATTTGTCTAGATATTAAACATAATTGGACTTCACATGAAAAATTACAGAAGATAAGCGATCTCAGGAAATGTGTTTACTACTGTCAATTTAAGGTGAACATCGAGCTTAAATTGATTCATTTTGATGTTTTTTGGTAATGTACTGTGTTCCCACAAAATTAAAGCCTTTCATTGGTATACATAGAACCAGCAGAGAAAGACAACGCATTAAACGGTAATGTTGTTGGTATAGACTCTAGTGATAATTTAGTAATTTTATATAATGGAAGTATATGAATGGTGTAAAAAAAATCTCATAAGCTATTTGTCTTCATTACACTATAGTTAGGGCCGATTCTTGAGTGTAACTTTGGCAGCAGAACTTCTGAATTTTAAATTACGGCTTCAGTTGAATGAAGGACTCTTACATTAAGTGATTTTTGAAGGTGCTTGGCTGATTTAACCTTGCGAAATAGTGTGAGACATTTATATTTGGGATTGAAACTACCAGTGCTCTCCAAATGGAGGAGAATTAATTTCCAGGATTAATGAGGATTTTGGAAATAAAAGCTTCACACTACAGAGACCAAATAATGGCTGGACGTCATTTGCAGTGTCAGATTTAGGCTTCTCAGTGGATTTTGTTTAAATCCTGCAGTCTCATTCTCTTGTCATATAATATATACTGCCCTCCTCCCTCTCATGGAAACATAGCAATCCTTATTTTCTGTCTCCTTAACATGATAGCCCCGACTTGAGACAAATAGAAAACGAGTCTCCCACTTGTTGAGGTCCAGAACCGGTTCTTCTCTTCAGCATTTGGCTTCCAGCGCTTAGAAACATTCAATACTTGCAGGATGAGTGAATGCCTCATTTTGATTGTAGAAACAAGTTCCTTTTCATGTACTACCAGCATGGCTGTTAGAATTCAGAGTTTCCAGAAACCTATTTCTAGGGCCAGCCCGTTGTTCTGCTTCAGAGTGACACTTCCTTTGCTTGCCTTCGTTTATTTGCATAAAGAGAGCTAAGTTGCTGTCTAGTATCATTAGCTTCATTAATGATATTTTTATATTTAACGTCATCAAAAAAAGAAAAATTTCAGAACCTCAGGAGATGGATAAAATCCTAGTGTGGCTCTGTAGAACCACCTTGGTATTAAATTATCGTTGTCACTATTACTCCCGGCGGCGGGTGGGCTAACTAAGAGCAGCCTTTCATTCTAATTAGGATTGTGATGCTCTGGATGGAAATGTGTACCTTTCATTTTTCTGTGGTAAAATGGCTTCTGATATTTTATATATTTTAGTGTCATGTTAGAGATTTCATTCCATGATCATTTGTTCATTCACATGTATTTTTATTTTTAGCTCTAAGCGAAAGACATGAGGCCTAAGACTGAGATGAGGTTGTTTTGAGGCCATCTGATTTCTGACTAGAAGGTGTGCGATCGCCTCGTCCTGAAACCACTTCAAACAGAATGGTAATGGCAAAACCTAAGAGAAAGAGAGGCCTTCATGTTTTTCCATGTCTGTTCTCTTATCCCATTCCTTCCTCTTTAAGAAAAAAAAATCTTAACTTGTGAACAAAAAGTATTAAAAAACATGCTGATATATTCTAACTAAACTGGTTCAAATGTAAAGAGTTGTGCAAATCGACATACTAATTAAGCCTTTTAGAGTTGTTTAAACTTCTTAGTGAGATGTTTAACTAGTGACAGAATATTTATGTGGAAACACCTAAGCCATTAGGAATTTGCAGATTGAAATAATTGACTTCCTTTGAAAACGAATAGGGTTTGCTCTTAAAAGGGACTGAATACTTAAAAGCTTTTCAGACTAGAAAGTAAGGGTTCTGTGCTTTTGCTGTCATAAAAAATTTTTATGTCTTATGGATGCTTTTTTGTTTTTCTTTTTAAGATGTAAAGTTCTATGAAGAATATTAGTAGTTCCGTTAACTCTGCTTTAATTATCGCAGGTAACTTAGTTCAAAATCTGTTTTACAATTGAGGAGAAGAGCACTGTTTGTCTTTATTACAGTAAAACTTTCTTTGGGAGCGTGCTGCTGTTTATTAAGTTTATTCCAGTGGACCATGTCCTGTTAAAATAATGATATAACAGGGCTTAGAAAGGCAGTTACTAGGCTTAATTCCCCCTGCGAATAGAAGTCCAGTAGGTTCTTTGCTCAAGTTCAGGTTTTATACTAAACCATCTTTTCAGAGTAAGTGGTTATTTGATCTTTCTTATACTACATGTAACAGTGTTCATAGCAAAAATAGTATCACAATTTACTTATATTTAGCCTAAATTACACATTTGTTTAATTGATGGCATGCCAAGAAAATGAAATTGTCATCCCACCCAGAGGATGAGACAGAGGGCAGATTCTACAGAATATTTTTTAAAAGTCACACTTATTTTCCTATTTTCTTCCAGGGGCTCAGTTGTTGCTCTAGTTCTGCATTCCCTTATTTCTCTACAAATAGTATTTTCTCCAATGTCAAGAGTGACTTAAATTTTTAAAATGTATTTTTGTTTGTATACATGGCTTTCTGTGATGATAGTCTTATTCACATGCCATGTAAATCCAGGCACTAGGTTGACTGGAGTGTAATGATTTTATATCTGTGATCTCAGTTTATACTTAAATAAATCAGTCTGGCTTTGTCCTAAAGAGAAATAGTACACAACAGATCATTTCTTTGTTTCCCATATCTGCTGATGTGTTGTTTTATTCTTCTGATATGTGAACTTTGAACTCTTGCTTTTCTATGGAAAAATTAAATAGGCTAATCTAGAAAGCATCATTTTTAAGCCTATGGTAGAGGAATTGTTCCTATAGTTTACTTTTGTGTATTAATGATTTAATGAGAAACAGGTACTGATTTTTATTTTTTGAAATTTTCCTTTCTTATGTTTACCCAAATAATTTTTTTTTTTTTTCAAATAAAGCCTATCTAAATTGACCCTTTTTGAGGTTAGAAGAACTTTGAAGGTCATCTTTTCTATTTCATGTGCTGAAAGTTAATGGGATAGAAGTACAAAGACTTTAACCACTATTAATTGGCTAAAAATGTGGTTTCTGAAGGCATGTGTCATATAAGAGTGAAGTCATTAATTTTATTTATGCATCTGAATGTCTGTCACCATAATGATAGCTTTTAGAAAGAAAATCTAGAACTAATGCCACTTTAAAGCCTGAAATTGTAAATGTGAAGATATTTAGAGCCAGTAAATATTAAATAGGTGATATGTATGAGTATAGTTTAATATTTTTTAGTAAGTAAACTGCCTTGTTTCTAAGCAAAATTTTAATGTTAGACTTAAGAGCTTATAACTGTAAGATGAGAAAGAAACATTAGCTTAAAAATGTTGTTTTGAAAATTATAAAAGTAAATATTGACCTTTTCTAAAAAAGTTTTTTCCTTTTGACATTGTTTAATTTTTTTTCCTTTTTGTTTTTTAGGTTTGCAATTTTTTTTGGTGATGGCATGTTCAGAATCTTGGATCCCTAAGTTGAATATGTTGGAAATATTTAGGAACTCTGGAAATTATTGTTTTGTGTATATTACGACTTACTAGGTGAATCAGTAGATTTAATAAAAAAGAATATAAAAAAGAATAGGTATTATAATTTTGTGTTTCTAAGTTGACATGCATGTCCAGATTCTCATCTTCCAGTATTAGTGTCATTCCCTGGAGACAGTTACATTTTGAATATTTGGGGGTTTTTATGGACCCCATGTTTTCCCAGGCAGTTTATGTAATCCTCCCATGCTGATTTGGTCAGCTCCTTTTCATTTCTATCTACCTTGCCATGTAGCTTACTTAGATCAGAGGTCATTATTGATCAGGAAGAGATCAAGTGACAATCCTAGAGGTAGTAATTACAGAATTTCAGCCTGGAAATGACCTCGGAATAGTCTGTTATACCAAATACAATTGTGACCAGATGCTGCTGATTTCCGAATTGGATATTATTATGTAGGACAGAAGTGCTAATGGAGAGGAGAAAGGCTTTTCCGGTTCACCTCCTCCCTCTCTTGCTGTTGTTGGGTGCATGATTAGTGGAAAGTAAGATGGCTAAGAGATAGACAGTATAAATGGAAAGGAGAAAAAACAAAACTTGAATCTCCAAGAAGGAATACTTCCCCTTAAAAATTTGAAAGTTAGCTCTATTCCAAGTACCTGAACACACTATTTTAAAACCATAGGCTCACTTTCATGTAGACCCAGAATGTGAACTAGCATATGCTTGCCCAGAGGATAGCTGGAGAACTTGTTATTTGACAGGAGAGTCAGATAGTCCTTGGGTGAGTCTGTGGTTGACTGCTCGGATGAAGAGATTTGAAGAATATCATGGGGCAGTTATTTTCATAGGCAAATAGAACAGCCTCCCTATGCCTTTGACCAAAACCGGGGAAGGCTTGCTTTTTAAGAATGTGTTTAAAACAGCTTGAAAAAGGATCATAGGGAAAGGCTGAAGAAAATTCACGAAGCTATAGAGACTGAGTGGTAGCAAGTTTTATCATTGGTAGATTATCCAAAAATGTGGAAGTTTGTGTATGATCACAGTTTTCATAATGTTTCTATTAGAAGGCTTCTAGAAGCTAAATAAGATACACTGTAGCACCCTCCACCCCTTTGCTTTTCTTTAAGAGGATTTGATATATATATATATATATATATATATATATATATATATATATA